GCGAAACGGCATAACACTAGCAGAGATTGTTCAGTCAATCAAAGGACAACCGCTGCGCATATTCCGCGACCCGAAGCTACAGTACCGGCACTCCAACAACTACGCGCACTTCTTCAAGTTCCTGTCTGAAGTCGAACTCCCCGATCTCTTCCGCTTCGAACTGGTCGATCTCTACGAGAAGAAGAACGTGCCCAAGGTCATCTACTGCATCCACGCGCTCTCATGGCTTCTGTTCCGAAAAGGCATTGTCGACTTCCGAATTGGCAATCTAGTCGGTAAACTCCAGTTCGAGGACCACGAGTTGGAGGCTACACAAAAAGGTCTGGACAAGTCTGGGGTTAGTATGCCCAACTTCTCAGGCATGCAAGCCAACTTCCAAGTCGAGCCGGAACCGGAGCCAGAACCAGAACCAGTGGAATCTGAGGAAGACCGCATTGACCGCGAGCTTGGAGAGAACGAGGACATCATACTAGATCTCCAGGCTCAGATGCGCGGTGCTCTCGTCCGAATCCGCCTCGGAATGGTGATGCAGGAGCTCTGGGACCATGAGCACCTCATCGTGGATTTGCAGGCACGCATCCGTGGCGACTGGGCTCGACAAATCTCCACCTACCGCATGGACATGCGCCGTTTCGCAGTTACTCTGCAAGGTGCAGCGAGAGGATTCCTGGTCCGATCACGGCTCCAGGGTGAAGAACAATTTTGGCACGCCAACGAGGCCCAGGTCTTGAAGGTGCAGAACCTGTTCCGTGGGCGCAAGGCCAGAGCGCAAGTTCAGTACACCAAATCGAAGATCGAGCGACACGAACACGGCATACGGCAATTCCAAGCAGCCATCCGAGGAGCACTCGAACGACTACGTGTGTCCGACCGATACGAACAAACCCGCGATACCGAACCATCCGTTATGCATGTGCAGGCTATGATTCGTGGCGCTCTTCTACGCCAGCAAGTCGATCAGGAATGGGCTGAGCTACAACAGAATGAACCTGAGGTCGCGCAACTCCAAGCCGTCGCAAGAGCAATGCGTGTCCGCCAGTCACTGCGTGCCGATCAGGAAGGTCTTCGTCAACACGAATCTATGATTACAATGTTGCAGTCAACTGCCCGAGGTCTTCTTGCTAGGAAGAAGGACGCCGCAATGCAGAAAAAGCTGGTAAGCACGAATGTCAATTGGTCTGGTCTTCAGTCCCAAGTTCGCGCCAATGTCTTGAGAAACTCTGTCAGGCAGATCCACGAGGCGCTTCAAGCCGAAGTACCTCAGATTACCGATTTACAAGCTGTCGCAAGGGGTGGCATCATGCGTGCAGAGATCACTGAGATCCTCACGCTTCTGCACGAACAAGAAGACAACGTTCTTTCGCTTCAGTCACACATTCGCGGTTTCCTTTCGCGACAGAAGCACTTTTCTGATCTCAAGGCACTTCAGGCGCAAGAACCCACCATTCTAGACCTCCAATCGGCTTGCCGAGGCTTCATGCAACGCCAACGGACCTACGAGACTCTTTGCGAGCTCAATGCTCAAGAGCCCGAAACCGTCGATCTTCAAGCCGTGGCACGTGGCATGCTGCTCAGGATGCAAATCGGTATGCAGCTTGGTCAAGTGGAAGAGCACGAAGATGCGATTGTCGAACTACAGACCCTGGCGCGCGGTTTGATGATCCGCCATAAGTTTGCAGAGAAGCAGCAGTTCTACAAGGAGAATATGGAGAAGGTCATCAAAGTGCAGAGCTTCATCCGTGGTCGTCAACAAGGTGAAGCCTACAAGAGCTTGACCAGTGGCACAAACCCTCCAGTGTCGACTGTCAAGAACTTTGTGCATCTTCTTAACGACAACGACATCGACTTTGATGAGGAGATTGGTAGGTCGCTCTTTGATTACTATAGTAATGTCTTACTAACGGAATGTCAGAATTCGAGCGTCTTCGTAAGACTGTAGTACAGCATGTGCGCCAGAACGAGCTCGCCGAGCAGTACGTCGATCAACTGGACATCAAGATCGCGCTTCTCGTGAAGAACAAGATCACCCTTGACGAGGTCGTCAAGCACCAGAAGCACTTCGGCGGCAACGTCGGCACACTGCTCAGCAGCAAGGACATTTCGTCAAAGGACCCCTTCGATCTCAAAGCGCTCAACAAGAACTCGCGCCGGAAGCTGGAGCAGTATCAGGAGCTTTTCTTTGTTCTGCAGACGCAGCCTCAGTACATGGCGAGACTCTTCAGGCGCGTTCGTGAACAAAATCTCGCGGAGGGTGACATCAAGCGCATCGAGCAGCTGACCATGAGTATGTTTGGTTTGGCCCAGAAACGCAGAGAAGAGTATTGGCTGTTGAAGCTGCTCACAAGATCGCTAAAGGAGGAGATTGAGGGCTGTGCGAACCTCCATGAGTACCTTCGTGGCAACTTCTTCTGGTCCAAATTGTTCGCCAACTACGTCCGGTCACCGCGCGACCGAAAGTTCCTCAAAGATGTCCTTGGAACTGTCATTCGTGAGAATATCATTGAGAACGAGCACCTGGACCTGGAGAGCGACCCGATGCAAATCTATCGTTCCGCCATCAACAACGAGGAGCTCCGTACCGGCCAAAGTAGTCGTCGCGACCCGAATGTGTCGCGAGATGTAGCACTCAAGGACCCCGAGACACGTGGTACTTTCATTCACAACCTGCAAGATCTTCGCGATGTTGCTGATCAGTACTTTACGATGTTCGAAGAGGTACTCCACCGGATGCCATATGGTGTAAGGTACATCGCACAGCAGATGTTCGAAGAACTACGCTTGAAGTTCCCCTACGAGGCGCAAGAGCAGCTTCTACAAATCACCGGCTACTGGGTATGGAAGGCTTACATTCAGCCTGCTCTATTGCAACCTCAGCACTGGGGTGTGGTGGATCGTGGCCTGTCGCCAGTGATGAACAGAAACCTTGGAGCTGTTGCCAAGGTCCTCAGTCAGATCGCCGGGGGGAAGCTCTTTGGTGGAGACGATCTTTACCTGCAGCCTCTCAACAGCTACATCACCGAAGCAATCGATCGCCTACAAGATATCTGGTCGAACATGATCAACGTCCGTGCCGCCGAAGCTCAGTTCGAGATTGACGAGTTCAATGATCTGTTTGCAAGAACCAAGCCGACACTCTACATCAAGCTCGCAGACGTATTCGCCATTCACAACCTCGTCATCGAAGATCTACCAAGTTTATGCCCCTCTCAAGACGATCCACTCCGTGAGATTGTCCGTGAGCTCGGTAGCGCCAAGAACAACGAGAACGAGCTTCTGCACGTCAGCTCCAGCGAAATCACATTGACCCTGAACCCCAAGTACCATGAGCAAGAGGGTAAGTTCTTCATCCACTTGCAGTTCCCACTTGCTGACTTTTCTAGACCCCGACTCTGCAATCAAATCCCTCTTCATGGAGACCAAGCGCTACGTGCTATACATCATCCGCATCCAAACCGGCGCCAACCTCACCGAGATCATGTGCAAGCCGGTTACCCCCGATGACGAGAACCGCTGGGACGCTCTCGTCCGTGAAGAGATCATCGCGCAGCGGAAAGATCGTTCGCGGAAACAGAGCAACGTAGTCCGATCTTCTGCCGCCTCAACTTACACGCAGGATATGGGCTCCAACTCTGTACTTGATCTTGACTACCCCACACTCAAGCAATACTGTCTGGAGAACATGGTACAACTCCAACGCGCAGGCCGCATCTCGCACACCAACAACTACCAAGACCTACTCAACGCCATCGCGGTCGACATCCGCACCAAGCACCGAAGACGTATCCAACGCGCCAAGGAATTAGAGGGAGTACGCACTACATTGGCCGCACTCGACGAGAAGGCACATTTCCTAGAGTCGCAACTCAAGTCCTACAACGACTACATCGAACAAGCCATGGTAACGCTGCAATCGAAGAAGGGCAAGAAGAAGTTCCTCCTTCCCTTCACCCGCCAATACAATCACCAGCGTGAACTAAAGAACAGCGGTCGCGAGTACCGCTTCGGCTCCTTCAAATACTCCGCCCGCAACCTGGCCGAGAAGGGCATCCTCATCTCCTGGTCTGGATACCACGAGCGACAATGGGACCGCATGGACATCACCATCTCCAGCAATCAAACAGGTATCTTCGAGATCCAAGGTTCCCAGGGCTCCATGATGATCCCCGGTGCTTTCGCCGAGGTGCCTCTGGACGGCCTCCTCCAAGCGCAATTCGACAACCACCAATTTATGAATCTCTTCGGCGAAGGTGCGCGGGGTGGCGCGGCTGCCGGCGACGGTGTCGCCAGAGTCAACGTTAATCTGTTTTTGCATTTGATCTTCAAGAAGTTCTATCGGGATGAGTAACGGCATGCATGCAACGGCGGTGTTTGATAGGTGAAAGATGGGGTAACCGTGTTATACCTTTTTCTTTTTCTGTTTGTTGTTTCTGCATTTTATGGATGGTCGGGGGATCGGTGTTTTCTCTTTTTGTTTGGTTACGACCATGATGATATCGTTCGTCGCTTGACGCTTCTTCTTCTTCTTCTCTTCTCTTTCTCTTTCTTCTTTTGGAATGATACATACATATCCTAGCATAAATGCATCTTACATAATTTGTACTCAGAGTGTTATCATCCATTGCTTTGATGGAAGCTTGTGAGTTTTGGATTCGTGATGCTGATCTACAAAATCGCCACTAATAATACCGCCTTGACCATGCATCCATGACAAAGCACGCAGAACTTTTATCGGTATCGAGCTCTCAAACTTTGGGCTACTGGCCTCGAGCCTTTTACCCCGTCCATTTGGCGGCAATGCTGCGACCTATCTGCGCATATGTTCCGTTACCCGACCGTATCGCTTTGTGCGTGCTGACTTGGGAACCCACCAGTTTTCAGGCAATCCCTCATCGAGTACTTGTCCAGTGTTGGTATGCGATTCGGTCTGTGTCGCCTTGGAGACCGAATTCCTTAGGGCCAAATCAGTATGCGTGTGAACAAGAACCAGTTTTCGCGATGACTTACTGTTGCTTCGCCCTCTTGTCTGCCCTCTCTTCGTATTGCCGCAGCTCCGCTGAACCTGCCTTCCGCTTGTTGCTAGACAGGTTCTTGTCCTGTTTTGCAGAATCTAACTTCTGTTCCTGCTCTTGCTCCATCTCTTGCTCTTGCTGTTGCTGTTGCTCTTGCGCCTTGGCCGCCTCGAGCTCAGACCGTCGCACGAGTGCTGACCGGACCTCCTGAAGCGCCTCTCCGACCGCGCTGTAATCAGAAACATTTCCGGGCTGTTTGTTGGGAATATCGTGAAGGAGACTGACTGTCAATGTGCTGTTGTCGATACTAGGTACATAGGTGATCTTGCGTTCTCCGGTGGCCAAGAGCAGGTTCCTGAATCCTTTCGCATTCTTCGATGTTTTGACTATTTGTTGGAAGGCCCTCACCCAGACACCAAGTGATTCTACTTCAGATTAGCGATCGTAACTCCGTATGCACTCGTTTTTGGTTGGAAGCATGGTCTTACTCATCCTCCAGATATCATCCTTGTATGACTTCACCAAGCTTCCCAGCCTCTTGAGTTCCTTCGGGTCTGTGGTCGCCATGATGAGATTGACGCTTTCTTGGTCAACAAAGAGCGCCGCTTTCGCGCACTGGTAGAACTGATGGGCGCTTATGAACTGAATACTGTAATTGGTGAAGGGCCGGATCTGTGTGGGGCTTAAAGCGCTGAATACGTCGCCTTGGTCGCGGATGAAGACTGCTTCTGGGTCTTGAGGCCTCGTGAGCGGCATCATCTTGGTGTGGGAGGTTGTCAAGGCTAGGGAACAGATGAAGTGGGAGCGAGGTTCATATAGGCCAGAACGGTTGGAGATCACGCATGCCGCGGTCTCTCACCTTGGACTCACGCCTTTACCTGTCGCACGCGTCAAAATAACTAAGCCTTGATGCCTATATCGAGACACTGATGTCACAACTCACTGAACTTCAGCCACCGTCAGTACCAAGGTCAGCTTCAGCTTTCACGGGCCGCCCTCCTTCGGGCAAGCCACAGCACCTCCATCAGAATATCTGAACGCGAAATTTTCTTCGTCTTAGGAATCAATGCAGCTCTGAATTTCGCGTCTTGCCCAATATTTCTGATCCTACGCTCTCACCAAGATACCTACAAAGAAGCATCTCCAGATCCACAACCGGGCAAAGGCCTACCCAGGAGGTATCGCGGTTTTTGCGCGTTTTGGCCGGCCAAAGCAGAACGCGATGTATACTCCAGGGTACGTTACGACCACGTTCTCTAAGCCCGATCGATACTTTGTCGTCACAGCATACCCATATGCCTGCACAGATGAAGGGGAAGTGCGTTCTGATATAAGTAGAAGGGCATTTTTCGTCGTCTCTGTTGATGGAGTTAGCAATCTATTTTCGGAGCGGTGATATTGTTTTCGATTTGACCACAGGGCAGATTAGGATAGAGGTGGTATTGTTTCATTGTGACCGTATGCGATAATCTTACGAGAACTACTCCTATGTCGTAGTATCGCATCCCGCCAATACTATGCACTCCAACATTGTGAAGTTCCAGACGACGTCACTGCACGTGTCTGATCGCAGCCTAGAGACCCCTGAGTCCACGTTCCACGTTTTGCGAATCGCGCACGAGCCAGTTCCCGCCACTTCACCGTCCCATGTCCAAACTCGCCCAAACGCGACCTCTCAGCGTCGCGCAACTATATATTATCACAAAATGGTCTCTTCTTCGCCTTCGGGCATTTGGTCAATTTGAAACGATACAGAGAAGATTAGCATGGCCCCTGCACTAAGGATGACACGCTCAATCAAAGAGAAGCTACCATTTTTTTTTTTGGAAACACTGTGAGATGAGAACATCCAAAGTCCGGCCTGTTCGAACCACAGCGATAGCAAAAGGCAGGGACTGTAAAAAGGCTGCTCTCTTTTTGCTCAGGCAGGGCACTAGAGGGGGCTGGGTCAGCGTGCAACAGGTTTCACACGGGCTAGTAGCGCAAGGACCATGGCAATCTTACCGCCTTGTCCACGACCATGAACATCACTCGTCAGAGATCTGGTAGATACGTGCGGACGTAATCGTGATGGGTATAATTATGCCTTATAGCCTGATAGAGCCTGGAGGTATCCGCAAAATATCCGGAGTTTAAGTCGAACTCTGGCAGACCATGTATCCTCCAGCCTATATTATCATTTCGCCGTCTTCACCGTCCATGCCGCCCGTTTCGTCCCCGTCGTCCTCATCCAGGTCTTCGAGTGGATAGGTGAGAATGGCCGCAACGTTCCCGAGACCCTCAAGCCGCTTCCCGCTCTCGTGTAATGAGCTGAGCACCCTGACTTCGCCACCCTCCACATCCCGCACTTGGTCGACTAGCTTCACCCATCGTCTCCTCTCTTTCACGTCTTGTGCGCGGAACAGGGCGTTGTTGATCATTAAGACTCCACCACCGCGCCCAACTGCGCCTTTGGCGACGGCGCGCTCCACTTCGCGCGGGCCGTACCACGCCCGACCGTCGTCTTGTCGCATGAGTGTGTTGAACTTGTCCATTAAGGCCGTTTCGCGCGCGAATTTCGTGTCGGACAGCTTGTTCGTTATCGCCGGCGACGAGAGGACCTCGTTGAGTGAGTGTACGTGCGCCGATGACGAATGCGCGATGATTATCGTAGGTATGAGGGCCATGAGCGGCTTATTGGTGGTCCGTGTCGCTTCCTCTTTGATGTACTGTAGAAACGCCGACGCTACGAAGCCTGGACTGGCGAGCAGAAGCGGGAGGGTCTTGCCTTGGGGTGTGCTGGAGGCATTCGGCAGGTCGATTTGCCGTAGTAGCGTCGAAAGCGTCGTTGAGAAGAACCTGTCCATGCCTTTGCTGTGCCCGTCTACGCCACCTCTCCTCTTTCTGGGTACGGAGACCTCGATCTTTTGTCGTAGTATCGTCTGATGCTCGGTGATCATGCATATATTCGCGGTACCTTCTCCCAGTACAACAGCCCAAAGTTCCGCTCGTTTCGACGCGTCGCATGCCTCTTTTAGTTGTTCCAACGCGACACTGTCCCAACCGTCGGCTTTTTCGATGGTAAATTTGCGATTTAGCTCCAAATCTAACGTGTGATGTTGCCCTAACTTTACGTGCTCATTCTCTTTTGCTACGCGCCCCGAGACATGGAGTTGTCCGGAGCCAATATCGAAATCGGTCGAGGTTACTGCGATCGTGAGGTCTAGAGCGATTCGTTGCGAGGATGTCGAGCCGGCGTCAGATGTCTTCGAAACTCGACGAACTGCCTTGGCGCGTATTTGGTCGTGTTCTTGGATTAGGTTGTAAGCGTGCCACTGTGAATGTCAGTATAATGAAGCCTAGAGGGACTCGGATGCATGTGATCTATGGCGATCTGTTTGTGGAGCGCGTACCATATCCTCAGGCTCCTCAGGCAGCAGGGTGACGAACCCCGCGCCCGTTTTCTGTTCGATTTGGCTCTTGAGTAGCTTCATTATAGTGTAGCCCGACGGATACGTAGATTTGAAACTGGAAGTTGTGGTTGCGACGGAGGTAATGTAGCTGTCGCGCGTAGTTGTGCGCAGCCTGAACTTTTGGGAATGTAGTGACGCAACCGTGGGATGGAGGGGCACTAGATAGTGGGGCCGACCCACTCACGCGTTCAATGAACGGAAGCTTGTTTGCAGACATTCACGCCAACACTGGCGCAAGTACACCGAGCAAAGAAAGTATACCATTAGAAGACATTCAGCACTCAGCATAGCCTGGAGGTAGTCACGCAGTCTAACAGCATCAAGAGACAGTGGATGAAGCAATGTAGTCCTCAAAGTAGTTTTGAATAATGCAACTTTTTCATGCGCTCAAAGCTTATGTAGTCGCTAGATACATTAAAGTAACTAAGTATATACAAGAATAAAATTCAATCCATCACCACGCTCTACCTGGACTTGATAATCTCAGCAGCCTTCTCACCAATACCGTACATGGTAGCCTGGAGATGGCAAGACGGGATGATCGGGATGATAGAAGCGTCAATAATAGACAGATGCTGTGTGCCGTAAACCATCAACTTGTCGCTGACACAGCCACCGTCCTTCTCGGGCATCATCGGGCAAGAGCCAGATGGGTGAGCGAGAGTAGGGGACAACATCGACTGGGCAAGCAGGGCATCGTAAATCTCCTTGTCGGAGGTGTATTGAGCACCAGGGACGGTCTCGGAGATCTTGTGGCTGGCGAGCTCGGGGCGGGCCCAGACGGTGCGGAAGAATCGCATACCAGCGGCCATGACCATACGGTCGATGGGGTTGACAAAGGCGTTGTAGACGACGTTGGGAGGGCCGTTGGGGTTCTTTGCGTCGATGTAGACGGTACCACGCGACAGGGGCTTCTCGACACCGACAAGACCGTATGAGCCGTCCGCGGGAACGGGGAACTCGGCCACGGCGGCATCCTTGCGGCCGAAGATGTCAGCAATGACTGCACGCTGCTTAGCAAAGCCCTTGGCGAGCTTCTTGCTGTTCTTGTAGACGCTAGGAAGGTAGTCGGTGGCGGTCTGGCTGTTAAGGGTACTGATAAGAGACTTGAAGTCCTTGGTAATGTCAGGCAGGGAGATGAAAGCCAGGGCGTTACCGCGGGCATAGGTGTAAGGGCCAGTCTTGTGCTCAACGTACTGCTCCCAAGCGGAAGCGTTGAATGTCGCGTTGGTCATCAGCGAGTTCTGGTTGGGGAAGTAGTTGGAAGTGGTGTTGAAGACAACGGTGGCGTAGGGGTGGTCCTGGAAGTTGGAGCCTACAGCATCGAGCTCAACCTTGACGTCGATACCGGCAGCCTTCAGGACGGACTTGGGGCCAATACCACTGAGCTGAAGGAGCTTAGGTGTCTGAATAGCGCCCGCAGCCAGGACGACCTCTTTCTTAGCGTAGAAGGTGGAAGTCTTTCCAGTCTTGTCGGTAACCTCGACACCAGTAGCCATGAGCGGCTTCTTCTTGTTGTCGAAGATGATCTTGTCGGCGGTGGTGCCTGTGAGGATGTGAAGGTTGGCACGAGTCTGAATGGGGTCGTAGTACGCGTAGCGAGCATGTGCGCGGCGTCCAGTGGTCGCATCCATGGTGTTGGCGTACCAAGAAGGACCATAGGCTTCGCCGGCGTTTCCATCCTCTGGGACGTAGATACCAGTGGCCTTCCACGCCGCCCAGTAGTCCTTGATATCCTCATATTGGTTGGATGTGATTGAGACGGTCAACGGTCCGTTACCGTAAGTCGACTCATCCCAAGTGATGTTGAAGTCTTTGACAACATCGGGAGTGGGAGGTTGGAAAGTGGTACCCTTGATGAAGGCCTCTTCCATTCCCTTCCAACCCCATCCTTTGTTGCCGAGAGCCTCCCACGCATCGTAGTCGGCAGCTGAGCCGCGGTCGTAGACCATGCCATTGATGACAGATCCACCACCGAGGACCTTGGCAACAACAACCTGGTACGATGTGTTGCCGATAGCTGGCTCAGGTAGGGAGTTGATGTTCTCCCAGATCAAACCAGCCGCAGAGGTCAAGTCATTGGCCTTGTATGGGATCTTGGTTGCATCGGTATCGACGTTGTCACCCGCTTCAACGACAAGAACAGTCTCTGGGGCTGATGTTAGTGAAGTTTTCGACAAAGCCTGGGGCTGAAACACATACTGCTCTTGTCCTCGGTGATGCGGTTGGCAACAATCAATCCAGTGACACCGCCTCCGACAATGACATAGTCATACTGGGGCTTAGCGGCGGCACCAAGAACTGGCGACAGGATTACAGCAAAGAGCTGAGCAGCAACGGCTAACCTAGAGAATACAGGCATCTTGAAAGTCCAAAATATTAAGTTTAAACGAAAGTAAATTTGGATGCGCGCTGCAATGAACCTGTGAGGGTGTGCAGCCACTAGATGCTTTATACGGACCGAACAAAGTACTTACTCGCTGCTCGCATTGGTCGAGAACATGTTCGCCACGTGGGAAGGCCTACATTGCGGTGTTATCTTACCGAATTCATCCAGGAATTGATCGACCCACTAATACCGCGAGGGCGAACGATAGTCTGGTAAATTGTTTGTATGCCGTGGCGCGGCGCTGGCGGTTGCCATGTACAGATTCGTTCTAGAATACGGACGTTGATCCTTCTGGTAGGGGTTCAGTAATCTGAGCCTATAAACAGGCCGCATAGGGATCGTGCAATTACAACTCCCTGACTCCCGGTGAACATCAGGGACTTGTGGGCTCCGTTGCGGTCCGGGGCCGGGGTGCTAAACGTTCTTCCACCAGAGAGATCAGGCTCATGACCGGCCAGCCGCAGCAGCAGTGAACATGGAAGCGAGGTACGTTCAGTGGTCTGATGTTGATGTGGGCCAATGAAAATCTCTGCGGCTCGTCGTAGAGAGCGCATCGTACAGAAGGACCGAGTTAGCGATTCAGGGTGTTCTTGCCGGATGTAGGCCCCACTTTTGGACGGGAGACAAGACATGGACAGATGTCCTCGGCCCCAGACCAGCATGTGATTGAGTTCAAGCTACAGCTCTGGCAACGGCAGCGGCGTACAAGTTAAAAATCTGGGGTCGGCACTTTCTAAGAACGCATTATGGCTTCGGAGATTTTGCAAAGGACTGCAGCAAAGGATGCCGCTCCTCTGGAACACGGCAGGTACATTGTTGCGGGATATGCAGCGTAATAAGGCCACCAGGAGACCTCGATCCTTGATTCGCCATCTGAGACCATCTCGGGGAACCAGGTACCATGATTTCGGAGAGTGGACGCGATTCGGGATCGATGGCCACCTCGCTTGCAGGAAACATACCGCTAAGCTTCCGATCCGCCTATCATTGCCTTCTCTTCTGCCGTATCGATAGCTTTATGGTGTCTTCGTCCACGGTGAGGAATGCCAGCGCGGCGATGTCCACGTTGTCGTAGTCGAAACTCAGATGCAACATGGATATCGGAAAGGCATATTCTCATGGGCGCACCATGGACTCCCCTCTGCACGGCTGGAGCTGCGTCAGGATACTGAGTCAGGCGGCCCGCGGAGTAGTAAGGACCCGGCCCCCTTCAGCTCAATATTCTGCGTTCTTCCCTGTAGACTGAGTCTTAGGCCCGATTGCTGCTGTGCATCGGCCCACACATGCGGGCCAACGAGGAGAGCCCGAGGAAGGAGTGTGAAGTATCTTCTCTTTGGGCTCAGCCGCACGTTGACATGACATTGCGACACTTTGCAGGTTGACGATAGGAAATATCGCAGCGCACATAATGGAATGTTCTTTTTGTCACTAGGTAGAGCGCTAGAAAGAGAAGAAGATCTTGGGCAGCTAGTGCCGTGAAAGGTGGCTTCGGTTCGCTCTACCGGTGAGTTTGAGTATGCGGAGAATTCGCCCTGCATTTAGCTCATGCGCTAACCGCGCTAGCACCTCTAGCGCTGTTTGGCCTGGCACTCGCTACCACCTCTTCCACCATTCCCATCTCATGGGGCGATAGACGAAAGATTGCGCAACGTCCATGCGGCAACCCCGAGCACCGTGAGACGATGCAAGATCGCACGTTCGCTCTTTGACCGTCGGTTTAATGCACCCTTCCAGTGTTCCACCAGCGTTGCGACCATGGTAGGCGGGCCTGAGATCTGCAACAAGATCTACAAGATGCGTCGTCCTATGCAAAAGTTCTCATGCGCACACATAGCCACAATCGCAACTCTACATGGTGTGACCTGTTCGGTTGTACTTCTAAAGTGTACGCTTGAATCATGGTTTCCCGCCCACCCTGAATGCCGTTCTCATTGGGTGATAAAGGGTTAAATACGCAGCATGTGGGGCCTCAATTTATGCGGCATCACTGCCAGATCAGCTCGGCGGCCGTCACCCTAGGATGTACAGCTGGATATCCCCGTGTTGGATTGTTTCGAAAGTTGGTCTCGAGCGAGTGCACCTTCTGTGATCGATCTGGCGGCCTTCTCCCGTCACCCGCGACCGTGCTGTTTAGCTTTCGCTTCGCCCGTCTTGAACCAGAACGGCCGACGCAAGAGATGAGTGGCGCGAAGGAATATACTTGAAAACCCCGGGGCACTCCCGATCATTGAGTGGCTGTTTGCTTTTTCCTCTTGCTCACCGATTGTGACTTTTGCGATCCATGCCATTCCGCACCTCGATCGAACGACCCCGCTGCAGTGCATCATGGACGCAGGTACACAAGAATGGCCGGACCAACGCTTGAAGATCCTCATCCCAGTTTGGACCTTAACGGTGATTAGTACCGCTTTCTTGGTATGGAGAGTCGTGTACGGACTGCGATCACGCAAATTCATTGCCTGTGATTACCTGTTGATCATAGCCACTGTGAGTCTTCCCCCAGCCTGAAGATCGTCCCGACTGTGTGGAATTCGTCGCTGACACGAGTCCATCAGGCTCTCAACATCACAGCGACATCACTGAACCAGGTCGTCGTCAACAATGGCCTCGGGCGCCACATCATGGACCCGACGGTCTTTCCGAATCTCAGAGCATACAGCTATCACCTTTGGATCACACAGATCGTCAGTAAGTTTGCAACTTCGCGTTACCGCCTTTCTATTGCTAACGAATGATTTTCAGACATCATTGCCGTCGCCTTTCTGAAATGGTCCATTTGCGCTTGGCTGCTTGTCTTGAACTTCTCCAGATTGTACCAAGTTATTGTTTGGCTCTCGATCTTGATGGTCACCGCGTTCAACTTCCTTGCACCAGTCCTGACGCTATTCGGATGCACACCCCTGGAACGGAACTGGAACTTCGGGTTTACCGGGGAGAGCCATTGCTGGGCAAAGGGCACACTCGCACTATCCTATACCCAGGGTATCAGCAACATCATCACCGACGTAGTGTATATGGCTGCGCCTCTGATCTACCTTTCGCGCGTCCAGTTGAACAGTCGAACTCAACTGGGTATCAGGATCGTTTTCCTGCTGAGTATCCCGTAAGTAACACCTCTGTAGTCCATGTGAGTGAGCCGCCACTGACGTCTCATAGTGCCACGATATGCTCAATCTTCAAGACTATCGAACTCAAGGCCATCACCAAGACGCAAGATCCAACGTGGGACGGCGTAAACCTCACCATCTGGTCCAGCTCCGAACTTTCTATCGGCATCCTCATCGCATCCCTCCCTCCGCTCCGCAAAGCATTCGATCACCTTTTCAAGAAGTTTATGCCATCGACATTGACAGGCTCGGGCAAAACGCCACACTACGGCTACGGGAACTCTAGCGTCGCACAAGGAAACAGCATCCACATGAAGAACTTCCAAGGCAGCAAAGCCTATCACTCTAGGCTACCCGGCGAAAGCATCCTTGATGGCGACGACGAAAGCGATCGGGCCATCCTTGATGACGATCAAAAAGGCTCTGGTATCATGAAGAGTACAGACGTACAAGTCACTGTGACCAATGATGTCGGAGAGGCAGGGAGTAGTTCCAACTCCAAGAGCGGCGGGAGCCCCAAGATGTATAACCATGAAATCGACTGGGCAAGTCCACACTTGGAGAATGGGGAAGGACCGCGCCGGTCTCGGTAATGAGAATGTCTTTAACGGCCGAAAATCAGGATTTCGTTTGCGTCTTTAGTCTAGGCCAGTGTGAAAGAGGCTGAGCCGCTCAATAGTTGGATACCCAGGTACTTTTTCTTATGAAACGGCGGTAATAAGTATGGCGCAATTGGTTCACGATGACGCGAAGATATTTATATGTATTAACACTAAGTCTCTTTACCATATGCCGTCGCTTTTGGTGTGAATAAGTTTCACAATAAATTACTGTCACAGTTAAACCTTGGCTTTGCAAATGGACTTGATGATGATATGCTATTCGTACCAAGTACCGAAAGGAGAACGCGGTCATTGTAGAGAGATAGTGCCAGCGCCATTCGCATACATTGAAATCAACAGCTAGCGCCACCATGTTGAGATTGTCATGCGCAAGTAAACATATCGCGGAGATTTAGGCCAGTCGTGCGATACACCGTTCGTGAATTTCCCTTTCGTTTCGATTCATCATATCGTTGTGGGAAGTGCCGCATACGCCGCCAACTATGCAAATACACTATGTGAGCTGCTAAACCTAGCATATATGCACCTCAAACCGGCTTGTACTAATGAACCACTTTCCTGTTCATTTCACGCGTAGAACGATGACCGAATTAACGACTTTAGTCCACGGATGTACTTCGGCAAGAATCTCGAGACCGATGGATTGGAGTTCTTCTGACAGTTCCAGTATCTGTGTTTTCATTAATGACTACTGCCTGACATGACTGCGCTGGAAGTCGGTGCGAACATACCGGATACAACACACTTCGCATCCCCTGCGCGCTCCTCGCCACCACCAATGTACCTGGGACCAGCTTCTTAACCATGCTTCTGAGTATGTTGAGCTTCGTGTACGTATCTGTACCAACCAGCGCAGCAAGGAAGACGACCTGGCACGATTGCCATTCGGAGTTTGACGAAACCTCGGTAATGTCTTCACAAGCGAAACTCATGCGCTTGCCATAGCCTAACCGCTTACATAACGATTCGCTGACTTGAAGCGCGGAGGCATCGCGATCCACGTTATGCACTTGCGCGTTAGGATGGCGGTCCAGGAAACAGAGGGAGGTCAGAGGTAATGGACCGGAGCCGATGAAAGCGATTTTGGACGGTGGGCTGGGGAGGAACGCTTCTATGGTAGAACATTCCAAGCGGGAGAGATCGACGTAATTTTGGTGGTAAGGGAAAGTTGTCAGAATGTCCTCAGGTGTTGTGGTTGTACCTAAACAAAGTCAGATCTGTAGTTAAGTGTGATGCGTGATTGTGCTGCACTTACCGCTGATGTCGTTGAGCATGCGCTTTGCCCAGAACTTCTCCAACTCTCCCTCGGCTTCTGAACATAGCGGTCGCAAATTGGAGCAAAGGCTCTCTACGGCAGGTATGCGGAAAAAATACGATGTAAATTCTGCGCTGTAAGGTACGACGCAGAGGTTTACGAGTCGTGTGAGGAGAGAGTTGACTTGCTCCGACGGCGCTAATGACGATAGTTCGTTGAGTACCGTGTATATGTCCCTGATCTCGGAAACTAGCTGATGCGCCGCGGTACTTGTCGCATTCGGTGTGATTGGGGGTGTGACGGTAAGGGACCCGACAGGGGTAGTAGGTTTGGATAGTTCCGCAGTGGGCTTGCGTTCGATGGTCGTCATGATGAGGTACGAGTATACGTGTTTTTTGTTGTTTCTGTTGTCAGGTAGTACTGCTGTATTTGAGTGTGTGATCAAGATGCAAACTATCAGTTTAGCAAAGTTTTATACGCTACTGCGATTGTCAGCTGTGCCCGGGAGAATCATCAACACAAGCGTGTATGTGTAGACTAGGAAAACTCTTTCTCGCATTTGCCATGTGTCAAACGCATTGAGCGGTAATGGCGTCTGTCTGGTTGGCTGAGTACCCTGATGGTCGTGTGGGATAGTGAGTTGTGCTAGGGATGGCCCGACATACAAGCGGGATCTACGCTCAATGTAGTACAAACGTGTGGGGTTGAATGCATGTTGGGCATAAAGAGTTGAAGGCACACCTATAGACGTGATTCAAATAGCAGGGACACATTATGACCCGCAGCCTCAAACCCTGGCGGCAGTATGCAGATCAATGACCCCTCTCTTGCCGGCAGCCTACCGCTCGAATTTTCTCGAAAACTTTTGATTGACGGCCGCCGGAGCCGTCCAGTCGACTGTGCTGCATCAATGGCTTGCCGAGCTGATGTCAGGCGTTGGCCGGCGGAGGAAGATCTCGCCGCTCAACCTCTCTACCGAACAAGATCTTCATGGCCGGGCCGTCAATAGACTCGCTTGCCGCCCACCCACGTTTCTTTCACTGTCACCTTCCTCAATGCTTCTGGGTCCAGCGATTCAAGTTGTTTGTCGAGAACAACCCAGTCAGCATACGCCCCCGCTTCGATGACACCAGCTTTGCCTTCTAAGAAGGCACCGTATGCAGCGTTTACCGTAAAACCCTCTAAAGCTTGTTCGAAAGTGAGGCTCTCTTCGGGATACCAGCCAGCCTTGCCACCGCTAGGGTCCAGTCCTGTACGTGGACTTCGTCGCGTGATTGCCGCATACATTCCCTCGAAGATACTCGCGGGTTCGACTGGGAAGTCGCTACCGAGGACTGGACGAAGTGGTAAGAGCGACCGCATTCGGTACGCCTCATATTTTGTTCGTTGCTGGCCAAGCCTGCTCTCCGCATAACCCATGTCCGAGGTCGCGTGCGTGGGCTGTATTGACGCAATGATACCAAGTTCTGACATCCTGCGCTGGTCATCTGGGTGGATGATTTGGGCGTGCTCGATGCGGAAACGACGTTTAGCTTGACAGTCGCGGAGGTTAGCGTGGGGGCACAAGCGTTTCAACGCCGCTTCAAACGCGTCAACCGCAAGCCTGTTTGCAAGATCCCCAATAGCATGAATATTAACTTGGTACCCTGCCTTCACGGCCCAATCATATGTCACACGTGACAGCGTAGTCGCGTTGACAAGTAAAGAGCCGGAGGACTCCGGTTTGTCGCTGTACGGCTCAATCATAGCTGAGCCCCAGGAGCCCAAAGCCCCATCTGCACATTGTAAGTAACTTGTTGAGAGTGGGCCGTGTATACAAACCTCCGAAAAGCTTGACGCTCTTCACGTGAAATCGGCCATTTGGAGTCGAAACTTTTCTGACCGCCTCGGGACAAAACGTGTTTCGGACATCGCATTCGATCATCGCATTAACTCTCACAGTCCAGTCCGGGTCGTTCGCGAGCTCTTCGTATAGCTCCAGATCTGCCGGCACTACGCCGGCATCGTGCATCCCAACAATTCCATGTTTGTTCAACTCTGCCATCGCAGTCTTAATGAACTCGGTTTTGCGCGCTTTGGTCGGCTTTGGGTAATACTCCAGGACGATGTCCATGGCATTGTCGCAGAAGACACCCTTTGCCGGCACTTCGCCGCCGGGAGGTATACTGAACGACGGAAGAAGGTCAAGCACCTTTTCAGATACCCCTAAGATGAAACCACTGGATTAGATCAACCTCATGCTCAATTTGCAGGGCTGACTCACAGATACAATGAACATCAACCTGCGCGAAGTCAGTATATGTGTCGCTCCCATTTCGCACGGGCAACTAACACGATCAAGCATAACATAAAGATCCTTAAACCTCTCGTCTATCTCCAAATCTGCCTAGATGAAGTGTCAGTATCAGCACGGTCGTTACAGCGCGTCTACGTTCATCAGGTCCAACGTACTGCAGTCGGCCACCTCCCTTCAAAATGAGCTTGGTCCCAACCGACGCCACGTAGCCACTGTTCACTATTTCCTTTTTCTGGACGGACGTTCTTATACTCCAACAGTCTCCTCTTGATCTCGTCCATTGAATCGGCGCCAAAGAGGCTCACTGAATCTAGAGATTCTCCAAACTGGATCAAGTGACCGTGTCCATCCCAAAAACCAGGATACACATAACCTGTGCGGGATTCCTTGACCGTATTAGGGGCTGCATTGTCTACGAAGACACTGGAGAATTTGCCGTCGTGGATGGTAAAGCACTCGGCATGCGGGAACTCCGACGAAAGTGTTCTGACAGACTTGTAGCAGTGTGTGGGTACGAAGAGATTTGGAAGCAACGTGGATGGTACGTATTCGCTGATGAAAGCCGGCAGCCCTAGCTGGTAAATTAGAGCAGCCAGAATCACAGGCAGCGATACCGAAAGAAAAGTGGAAAGGGTAGGCATCATGCCCTCTCAATTCACGTGGGCAATGTTGGGGGCTGGTGTCACGAAGATCACGGGCAAAGGAAATTTGGCAATCGACAAGCGAGCTCCGATGACGCGACCGAAGAAAAACGACATCGTGGCCCGACGCGTCTCAAAACGCAAAGTAAGTCGCGTTAGGTCGCGTCGTCTACGAGATGCGCAAATGCTCACCTGGGCAAAATGACGACAATGTGACTATACTGAGAAGTCTAGAAGTCAGCTCGGTGGTGGTCACGTGATGCGGGCGGTCGCGCCGGCTCTGCTCCCCGCTCCCGAGATCTCAACAAAGCAGCAGAGCTACCCGGAGAGCCTCTACCCGCGACACGGAATCATCTTTACTTTGTTGGAGACAGCCCTCGTGCTCGACTGCTCGATCTGAACTGGCTTGCGATTTGAGCATGTCCAATTGGAAAAGGGCGGTGAGCGACCCTAAGCAGGCGTGTTGCATACTTTCCTCACAACTCCTTCATACAACCGGTGTGCATTTACGCATTAGGCCAATGGCCCCTCTTCTGATCGCGGCTCTGGACCCAGCTCCACCCCAGCTCCACCTTGGCATCGATGAAGATTGGATGGGAAACTCGAATGCTGAATTGAAAGGCTGGGCTTCCTGCAGCGCTAGTGTGGGGGCCGGATCCTAACAATCCTACACGACATAAGCAGAACCTTCTGTAAAGTTCGGTTTCGAGAATAGCTATCGCATGTCGGGTCGCACGGCTTTGAACACTACAGATGGCAACGACTGAGATTGACGATCTTCGGAAGCAGCTAGAGTCGCTCCAGCGCTCCCATGAGGCGCTACTGAAAAGCTTATCAGCAACGAACGACACCTTCAAACCATCCGACGCCTCACAACTTCGCCGCACATCCACACGACATGGAGGCGATGCTATCTTCGCCGATACCTCGACGCTATCTGACGACAGCAGCGATGAAGAAGACGACTATTTTGTCCAGAACGAATTACCGTCCCATTCGTTCGACCACGAACATTTGCGCGAACATCTGAAGACGCATAACTGGACTGAACATGGCAGAGAGATTCTGGCCTCGATCATTTCTGATCCCGCGAAGCTCACCAAACAATCTCATCTCTTCCACATGGGGCCCGGGCCAGCAGATGACCGAAGCCATTACTCACATTTCCAAGTGTACAATGTCGGAACCAACGGTCTGCCTGAGCTTATTGAAGTGACTGGCCCCGAAAACAACATGAGCCGCGCAACTGAGATTTGGCATGCACTGAGAGACGTTGGCAAGCAGCCGGACCAAACAGTGGTTGGACGTATCACCATAGCGCGAGAACCTTCACCAATCTTGTTTGGTGCACTTCATCTGACGCTTAATGATGCTTTTGACATGGACGAACTATTCCAGCATCTAGTCGAAACAGAAGCTTCATCAGCGCATATGTTCCGAGCCTTCAATCAGAATCCTAAACACCAAAGGACCTTTTTCTTCAACTTCGAATACTATACCATCGTTGGAGATGACTGTCAGCCCATGCAATGGCAGCGTGCGGATAAGATAACGGGTCAATCTGATCATCATATACCACTTTCGCGGTGCAGTGCAGTCGTTGCGCTTGTCCTGTATGACGACAAACCACGCCGCATCCGAAATCGAGGAAGACGCGCGAAGACACAGTTCGGATGGGTGCATGATGTCTGGTCGCCATGGCAAGTTTTACAGCTGGAGAGTTTCCCGGACTGGAAGTCGACACCAGCTAATGGAACGCCATATACATTCGAGACCGGCCACAAGTATCTCAATGGCGCGGAAGCATTTCTTCATGCTTTGCTGACAGAATATCGGGATGCAAGGAAGCGATTCGACGAAATCTACAAGCGTATCACCGACCTAGTTACTCCACCGCTAGGCTTCCTGTTTAGCGAAGAGTTACGCCGAGCCCGACTGTTCGAGGACAAAGACTTTACCTGGATTCGCAGATACTTCTACGCACATCAAACCTTGGGCAACGTCAACAATAGCATTAAATCCATGATCGACGCTTTTGAGGATTGTTTCACCGACGATATATGGGAAGGCCAAAACAAGACGCTCTGGCCGCTCTTCGAGGAGTCGCCGCGCAATGATCATTGGAAGCGGCGTTTGCGGACGTTGCGGCTTCAATTCGAACGGGAAATGAAAGAGCTTAGGATCATCATCTCGGAAAATAATGAAAGACGCCATGAAATTGAAACATTGCAGGAGCAGTTGTTCTCTGGTACTAGCATCCAAGAGTCCAGGAAGTCCGTTGAGCTAGCAGATGTCACCGTGCACCAAGGGTACAACATCAAGGTCTTGACCATCGTCAACCTCTTCTTCATGGTAAGTGCATATGCCAAATCCTACAAGCTCTCGCAAAACAGATGACTAACGAATCAACAGCCTCTCACATTCGTAACTTCCGTCTTCGGCATGACAAACATGCCCGAAAGTCCAGCAAACTTCACGCCATTCGCCATCGTCTTGGTGACGATTTGCATTCCCTTCTTCAGCATAATCGGCTTCCTCTCCACGAAATATGGCTACAGTATCTGGGCCCAGAAAACAAAGGAACTGTGGCGGTGGCTACGACCAAAGCCGCAACCAAAGATCCCGAATGACACAGACTTGGAGCCCCCAAGGCGCGTAGATAGGACCATGTCGACGGAAGAGGGTATGCGGTTACGACTTAGAGGGGCAGAGCATATGCCTATGGGGGTTGGGGTGGGCATGGGAAGGAGGAGATCGAGTCAGAGGCCTGCGCCGTCGCATCCGCATATTCAGCGTATGGTGGAGAGGATGGGTGAGGGGAGGGAAAGTGGGCTGACGCGATTGGGGACAGTTGTGGCCGATGATGAGCACTCGGATCACAGTAAAGAGAAGAATGGTAGTATGGGGAGAGATGCCGTCATCGATATCAAGGAGGGTTAATACACTTCCTTATCAGATAAACTCGCGGCTCGCAAGCACACACTACATATCAAAAGCACTCAACCCATCCATATCACTCGGCCCGTTCCATTCTTTGGGTAGACTCCAATCGTTCCCATCTCCCAGTGGCATGAAATCCAAATTCACTCCATCAATCGCACCGCCACTAACACCACCACTACCACCCGTACCGAGATCATCAAACGCGCTCAGCTCGGGGAAATGCGCATTAGCAAGTTGTGAAATCGGATCGTGAGGATCAAAGTCCGCGCCCATCCAAGCCCCAGAATTCCGGTTCACGTGTGAAGAAGAAAGGGTGGTGGAGGGGGTTGACATGTTGTGAGAAAGCTCAGGAGGTTCCGATATGCTGGGCCAGCCAACACTACCGAGTTCTGAACGTGGCGTCACCAATACGTACCCATCGTTGTTGTGAATTGGGTCGTCGAACCGGGGTGGCGGAGGAGCTTTGATGCTGAGCCCATGTCTCCCTTGATCAGACGGCATGCTCATAGTAGTACTCATACTCATTGTTCTCGTCTTTCTGTTTCCGCCTGTACCGGCTCTAGGTCTTCCGCTGCTGGTCTGCCTTTTCTTGGCCCACTGCTGGTTGTCGTTCATGTCGGCGTCCATATCTATTGTGCTGCCTCTTCGCGCGGGTACTGTCGAGGATGCGGGCTTGTACAAGTTGAACGAAGAGTTGGGGGGCTCGGGGCCGCCGCGTAGCTCTACCATCACCGCACGGAGTACGGTAGACATTCGTTCCGCAGGTTGATAGGTGGATGCCATGTCGGAAAGCGCGGCTGATAGACATTCGAGGTACTGCATGTTGTTGGCTCTGGAAGTGGGGTCTTTTATGAACGCCAACGCTGCTACGAGTGCGGTCGCTGCTGTGCCCTGCGGAAGATTGTTAGCGAGAGATGAAAGGTTTTAGGTGCTACATACCGCGTGTTGCATGCCTGTAACGAATATCTGCTTCGTATCGAATCGCTGTCGATGTTGCCAGTATATCCTTGCTACGCGAATAGCATGCTTAGTGCATACTGTCCTACTCAACGCGGAGAAATGGTCGTCAGGGCCACTCTCGTTGCCCGCTTGGTCTTCATACAAGGCGAACGGTCGGTGTAGCAAGATCAGACTGGCGTGATACTGCTGATGCAACAAGAAGAACGAGAATGGAGCAGTCGCAATGTTGGCTGGTGTCCAGCGCAGTTGCTCGGGTAGTCTAGCGTACCAACTGCTGAACTCGCGGTCCAGCGCTGCCATGCGCATATACTGATTTCGATCTACGGCGGTGTGCGAGTCGGAAGCAGCGTGTTGCGAGCGATGCGGATCCATATTCTCGGTGATCTTTCCTGCGAGCTCCATAAGATCGAGGAGTGCTTCGTAGATCATGGTCTCCATGCTCTTCCCCAGTCCAGCCGGTCGACAGGTGCCAAGGCGCTCAAACTGCTTTGTCAAGTTGTATATTTCAAGATCGGAAGGCTTCATCGAGGTCGGCCGACCCAAGAAAAGTGCCCAGTATTTGTCGTAGATGACGCATGCCCAAAGAGTCATTTGGCGGATCTCGACCTCGCGTTCTGGAAGACCTGAGAGTCGTGTATCGAGGTGGAGACTATGTAGACGTTAGTATACCACTGAGACATCTTCCAGTAGAACATACCCGATATCGAAAGCAAGTCGCACAGCCATCCCGCCGTACATCCAGCCCAGATTATCTCTACCGACGCCGCACTCAAGGTCGCCTAGCAGAAGTAATGCAACTACGCTCGGTATTCCACCCGGTCTTTCCAGCTCATGATCAAGCATATACTTGGCTTCGCGATGCAACGTGCTCTCCATGCCCGGTAATCCAATTCTTCTAATGTCGAGTCTTTCCTTGTTTGCGAAACGGTAACCCATGGCCAGAACACAGACATGCAGGAACCCAGAATAGAACTGTGTATGGCCCAACTCGCGGTCTTCGTTGAAAGCATCTTGATGCAAAACATGGATGACTGGGTTGTAACATTGCCAGAACAGATCCATGAGATAGTCGTATGTTTCCAGTGGAAGAGAGCGGA